TACCAAATTGCAGTTCTCTACATCAAGAACTTCTAGAGATTTAGCAATTTGAACAGAAAAATGGGACGAATTTTGAGTCAAGTCATAACCACCTATGAACTAAATAATTTTCTTCTAATCATTAAAGAAGCTGATATTGGTGTCATTTTAAAGGTCCCATCATGTCCTTCAAAATGGCGCGTGATCCATGGACTTTTAAGGGACATGAAGGCCAAATGTAAAAGTGACAATTGACCTTCAATTCCACGAGAAAAGGTTTTTTTTATTCCCATCGAAAAATTACCATAACCTTGTCGATTTCTCCTGCATTAGTGCTCAAAAGTTAAACTTTTGACTACAATGGGCTCAGGAGATCCGAACAGTAATGTGACAGCAAGTGATCAAAAATCCGAAGAGAACGTACGACGCAATAATGGATCCAACCAGTTTTGACAAAGCTGAGCCACAACATAGTAGTTTGAACAATCAAGAGTATTTTAGAAAGTTAATAAAGCATTCGAAGTTTCCATATTATAAATGGCGGGAAGTTCTTATAGTTTTTGGAGATTTCCCAAAGTTACAGGATCTTACCAGAAATTTCCAGAAATGGCACTTCCTTATGTTATGTACAGGCTTCCTTAGCATTGTTTTACCATTTTTAATCTCTTTCCAAATTATATCTTATACATCATCTTGTGATTCCATGTGCTATTTATTTTGATTGTTTCTGATCGGGAAACGGGAGTGATGAAAGAACCGGGATGGGCGATTTCCTGTAGCAACCAATTCGGCAAAGGGATACATTTATCTAAGAAGAAGGATTTGAGCCCAGTTTTCCCACAAATGTGTAAAAAAAAGTTTACTTTTTGTTCGACTTGGAATCGAGATATGTGATGATTGCAGGAATAAAGCAACCCGAATAATAGCGTTACCAGGAAATGAGTCGACCGTATCATCATCAATATCAAGTCAATGAGAGCGTAGACAGAGGAGTCATACTAAACTTTGAATTTGTTACCATCATGATACTTGTTATATCCGATTTACATCCTCTTTTTAGAATAAAATTATGTAATTTTCACCTCATATAATTGTCGTAGCATTAAGCCTGATGTTATGAATGATATTTTTATATGACCCGAGACAAACCATGAAAGTTATATTTACCTTATAGTCACTTCATGGAATTCTTGCAAACAATTATTTTTGAGCTAAGTGAGCTGACGATTTCGCGGTCTGACCATTAAACTCAGAAATCGTCATGGATTTATGTATTAGCCTATTCTTAGCTTCATCATCTAAAGTTCATAGACCGAGAGATCAGCTTAGTGCGAAAGGAAACAATTCACAACACAAAGTGGAAAACATTTTTCAGATTTTGCCGAACCAGTAACACACTACAGTATAATACTGACTTCAAGTTATGACTATGCTACACCGAGCAATATGGGGAATAACGTAGTTCCAACGCGTCCCGCGAAGATAATTAGAGAAGCGCGAATGTGCATGGGGCTAATTCTACCTGGGATAACCCGGATTTCACCTTTGAGACCCGCCACTTCCAAAGATCCTGCTTGCCGAGTGCTTCCGAATGAGACTCGGATAAAGTCGGGGATTTCCTTCTTTCCTCCCTTTTCTCCTCTTAATGTTATCTCCAAAAGACTCTTTAGGGAAACATGTGAAAAAAACTGCGTAATATATATGAACGAGGGGTAATATGGTGTATGTTTACTTTGAACGTAGTCGGAATGCAATGGATCCCACTTGCCCGGTTACGTTATTTTAATATTAAAAAATATGAAAAAAAAAACTTTTTGAAAAAGCTTGAAATTTGTGAAATTCTGGCTCCTTTGCTTTCTCAGCTTGAAGGACAAATACTAAAAATTACTCAAAATATAGTTAATAGTTCAACTGAAAACTATATTCACTTATGTGGCAATGGCAACCTTTTCATACTTTTATCGCCTGCACTTTCTTGGTAAAAATAAGTTTTCGGACTATATCTCTTTAGAACTGAATCTCCCATGGACCATATATTCAAGAATTAGCAACGTAGGTTTGTAGACCATTCCAACAGTAATGTATCCTGCAATATTAAAAAATATAGTTTCAACAGGTAAGGGGTAAACCTGCTGGGGGATTTTCTTATGTGGGCGTTACCCAATGTTGTACCTTTTGACATTTAACCCTTCCCGATTAGGTCATAATATTACGATTTTCAAAACCCGTAATTGAATTCAATTAATATTCGTCGGAAGTTTTCCAACTGTAAAATTTATGTCCAGATAAGTGAGGTTAGTGTAGAAATGTGTGGTACTTTTGATTCTAGAAATTGTGCTGTCATTTTGATGTAGAATGCCCCTTTAAGAACAAGGAGTGGAAACGAAGCCAGTGGAATCCATGCGCCTACATGTCTTAGTTTTGCTAAATATTTCGTTTTACGCCAGTTGAACAAATCCCAGGATAAATTTTAATGAGGTTCAATGGATGCAATCCATTTTCCAATTAACACTTTCCCACCGAATTTCAACGCTCTACCTGAATTGCACTTTCTATGACGGGCATGCGATTAAAAAGTGTAATATATTCCTGTTCCCGCTATTGCCTTCACAACCAGTTCCAGAAACCCATTTTCAGTGTCTGTACTTAGAAAGACCACTAGTATCACACTAGCCATTATAGGTTTCGATACTTGCAGAGTGTAACGAGTAATCAGGGACCTAACTTTGTCAATTACAGACGTGAAAATAAGACATTTCAACCATGCCCGTTCCTTGACAAATGCAACGGCCGAGTCACTGCTCCCAATGCGAAATAAGCACTATAAATGAGCTAAAAAGTAACAATGACAATTATATGTATCAATACATCACTATGGGCCTTTTCCGAGTTAATTCGAACCGTATTGATAAAAGCAAAAGTCAGGTCTTACCTAATGAAGGTTACAATGAAAAAAATGTTAAGAAAATGCCACTCTCTCATTACTCCGTGTCTATCAGCGCTATATTATCCAAACCTCTGAATAGGGAACGCTGACATACCGGGTGGCCCAAAAATGTCCCGTACTTTATACGCCTGCAGACGATGTACTAAATGAGTTACCGACAGGAAATTCGCATGCTATTACAAGCGAAGTTAAGCAAAGCAAATTTAGCAAATAAGCTAAAGCTTTAGAAAATAAGCAAATTTAATTGAAAGTGGTAGCGAAATACTTGAGGAATACATTTTCTCCCGCACGATGACAAAAGATCGAGTGTGCAAAGATAAGCGCCCTACCTCAATGAAATAAATGTTTGATGGGGCCTCAATGGATGTGTCCTTCGATGATAGCCCGCCGAAGCAGCTCGCCGGCAAACGGACTCACACACTTGCTTACTTGACGACTTGTACGGAAAGAGATCTTCCTCATGTTAAGAACAAAGTTTTTCATTGGAAGATTTACTGTCGCATCTCAACTTTAAAAATAAGGATTGTAATTTTTCTGTCGGTGGCCCACATGAGTACTCCCAGAGGATTCGACAATGTCTTCGATGGTTAATGCGTAGGCGTCGTTTGGAGATGGGAATAGAGAAAGAAGCGTAGGATGCCAGGTGCGGGTTTACGCGTTTGCCAGAAACTGTCGAGCAATAACTTTCTTCCTTTGTCCATTATGGATTCGTCTTCTTGAGATTGTGAAGGGAACTGCAAGTTTTATTTATTTACTCGTACTTCGCACCAGGCTGAAGTCTGCACATGTAGACTGAGTCGAGTGGTCAGGTTGCTGTATGAAAACTGTGGACAAACGAATCAAAAAGGAAAAAAAATGAGAAAAAGGTTGATTGCAATCTCCAATATTTGCTCATCGTATTCACGGGAGTAGCAGCTAAAAAGAGAGCGTTCCTTGTTAATCAAAGACAGTGGCGAATGAAGACAATGTAAGAAATAGCCACGGACATGCATAGACACATGGAGAAAAGAGGTGATCCGAATTTCCGAATCCGAAACAACGTAGCAAACTTTGGATCTCGAACATTTTTCCATAGAGGCGCTGATTTTTAAAATTCAAATTCTGACGCGAAGATTTTGAGAAGTTAGATGCTTTATTATGATTCTGTCGAGATAAGCCCTCTCGTATGAGTATTATCAAATGTCACAATGTTGAAATGGAAACTGGAAGCGTGCAAAATGCGAACAGAAAGCTACAAATAACGAGGCCCTCAAATGTCAACGGCCTTCAGGAATTCGTTGAATTGTCGTTCGGCTCATGTGGAAAGCATTTTGCGTATCTTCGAGTTGACCCATGCGGATCTCACTAAAAATATTATTGAATACGGTCAACATCTTCTGAATGCCTTGTTAATTGCCGTTTTCTTTCCGCATTTTGCACACTTCTAATTTCCATTAAGGCATTGTCACTTGATTTTGCTCATAAGAGAAGGGGAACCTCGACCGAATTCTGGAGGAAACTTACGGTGAACAATCAAGATGCTTTCCGAGAAGCAATCTTTTGCCCGTTCATTCGCCAAAAATTACCAAAGAAATTCAAAATTCAAAGAAACATTAGACATAATAGAGAGCACCAATGACATGCACAAATGCATAAAATGTAAGTCACAATGAAAATTCAATATTTAATAAACTTTGCGTCCGAACTAGGTGAAAAACCAGTGGGTCTATGCAAAAGTTTCGTGTTACATTAACAGTTGAATATCCTAAAAACCTTCAGCAGAACTCAATGGAAATTGGCCAAATAAACTTCTCAGGTAGGAATTACTTTGTGTCGAAATTTTATCAAAATTTAAAAATATATCATAGTTGCCATAGCCAAACAAAACTGTATATACTTAAATGGGCAACCCTGTATGCTCGTTAGAGCAGTAAATAGAGAGTGGATCTGATCGAAATGTTAGAAGAAACACTTCAATGAACAATATATTCGTAAGAAACGGTTTGGGCTGAAAAAAGTTGATGATGTTTTCAAAGGTACCAATACTTTCAGCCTTGGACAACTTTAATACTATATTTGATTTTTTTCAAAACAGGGTTACCTGGGAAACCCCGCGGAAGGAAACAACTTCAATTCCATTGTCCTTTAAAGAAGCACAAGAAACAGGCTCCTCAGACGAAGAGAGTCTCCGGGTATTAGGGAAAGGCGGACGTCAATCTCAACCCGGAAGGCACTTCGCTCCTGGAGTCAACAGTGCTTAAGCATTCTCCAATGGCAGAACAATTTATTCACCAGCAGGAAGATCCCTATGGAAGAGCTTCATTGAATCGGCCTATGGAAGACTATCGATTGTCACAGCAGAGCAACATTCACACACCCCAGGGTCCGCCTGGGATTCTTCAAATGTCCCCATTTCCTCATGAAGAGAGAAATGCGGAGCTGCTGCTTTCACTGCATCAAAACCAAGATATTAATTTAAACAGGAGGAATGAATTGAAACCTTATCCCGGTCAGCACCATTCTGACTCAAGAGGGAACTTGCAAGGGCGCAATCCACCAGGCATGAGCATGGGACAAGCGGATCAAGAGCCAAACCAGGGACATCAAGTCTTTTCAACTCCAATGGAAGAGAAAATGGCTAGCTCCCACATTCAACAACAAATTGCAGGCTCACCCAGTCCAGCATATGCACAAAATATGCATCCTAGAGTTCCCAATCTTCAAATGAAACCGACATATGCCAGTGATTTAGGGACCTCTCTCCAAGGCCAGTACAATGAATACGTCACATTTCATCGGGAAGCACCAGCCCCCCTATTAGGTAGCTCTATTTCAAATAAAGGACAATATGAGCCAACTTACAATGTCCAACAGCAAAGAGGCCAGCAATTTGAGAGGTCAATTCAATCCATATCACAGCCATGGTCTGGAAACTTCCCACAAAATTTCCAGAGCGAAACAGGAATAACAGATGACAATACACCACATCACATGCCTTACATGAGCAGTACTCCTCTCAATAATAAGCCGGGCACTATTAATAATTTCCAGCCGCATCAAGCAGCTCCTCTTCAGCACATTCCACATAACATTTCACGAGGTCATTTTGGGAGCCAGGCCACGAACAACTGGGATCAAATTCATCAACAACACCAAATGCCAATCCCACATGAAGAGACGCAGCAAAAAAATTTGCCGCATCAACTACCATTTGAGCTGCAGCAACCACAATTATCCCGAAACCCTCGGCAATTCCAAATGCCTAACCACAAACTACAACCATTACCTCAGCAAAACCCATTTCCCCACCAATTGCCAGTCCAGCATCAAGAATCGCCACTTTCCCACAACGTTTCGCAATTCCAAATGCGAACCCAATATCCGCAGATGCCACAACCAGAGTACTGTTTTCCACAGCAATTTCTTCCCCAGCGACAAGAGCAATCAACATTGCCACCAACTCCTTCCCAATACCAGATACCACCATCCCAACAGCGTCAGCAATGGCAGTCCCAAATGTACTCTCCACACCTCTTGCCTGACCAGCAACTACATCAAGCACCCCCCAGGACTTATAATATGCCCCAACTTGAAACGTGGGCTTCAACTCAGAATCAAAATCAGTCAATGCAAAATTATAATCCTTCAACAACCAGGTACATCTCAAATCCAGGACCTGTAATAACGAATCCTCAAGATCCGCCAATACATCCATTCAATCAGCTAGGTTATCGAGACCAAGGCTCCTATTATAGCTACAGAATTCCAGAACAATGGTCTCAGGTTCAATCAAGTGGAAGGAACTTGTTCCCCCCTTTCGGGTAAGCAAATACCTTCTGTTCTATTCCAAAGCCAAAGCACACACATTGCTGAAAAAATGCTTCAGCAAGAAGTAGTTAAACGATCTTGAGATTTGGAACTCATACTCTAAGCATTTTAATGCATACAATTATGTTCCGCTTCGAGGGTGTACTATGAAGATTCCCAAAAAACCTTCTTAAATGCTTAAGTAAAATTGGGCGAAAGTGGTTTGTACCTATCTTCCTGACTTTCACCTACAAGGGTGCAGCAAGAACAAAAGATGCAACATATTAAATATATGTTAATTAAATGGAGAAGAGTACCGAGCTCATAGCACGTGGACAATATAGAAAAAATATTCCAACGGTATACAAATGGAGGATGAAGGCAGCAGGGTTGGCGACGTTTGTTTTCTTTTCTTCAGATATTCATTAACTACAGGTACAGCGAGTGTCTTATTGCAAAGTCATACACAGATTATATCTCTGAAGGAAGGATGAACCACTTTTTCGTGGGCTTAATGAATGTATATCAATAGGGACACATGTTTCAGTTCCAAGCGTAAACGTGATGCGCACTAATCCTTATGAAGAACAGATGCTGAACCTTGTCCCGTTTGTCTGCAAGCTTGAAGGAAAACACACACGAAAACAGCCATCATTAATGGCGCCACCTTCTCCGTCCATTCGGGCGCTAGGTAATATTTATCTGTATGGCTCATCCTATGACCTAATTGTTCTATTCCGCTCCACCATTTGATATTATAATTCGAAGTGGCTGTATTAGCTCATAATTAATGGAGGGTGGGGCACCATAGACAATGGGGCAGGAGGAACGACCCCCTGCAACGCTAATATCGGAGATGCTGCCATGAAATTCACAGGCGTGCCTCATCAGTCAGTGCACGTTTCTTAAACGAAACAGGAAATCCATTTTAATAAACATATGTTCTTCAGCCAGTCATCAATTTCCCTACACCGTGCTAGGAAATCAAGGGTGGAGTGAAGGTGGGAATCACAGTCGCCAGGAAACAACTACTGCACCCTTGCCAGCCAGTATGGATTGCGATCCATACCTACCCATAGGGCTTTGCGAACTGTCGACCATGGAATCCCAGTCTCCCAAGACACAGCAAGATCGCTAGAAACACTTGAGACTGAGGCGGAGGCCTCAATGGTGTGCATGATCTCCGTGACCATGTCCAAATGAATTGATAGATGGCATCATCATGGGCAATCTAAGACACATCCTGCTCCTTGAAATTTCTGGTCAAGACGCATAACAATCTCCCTCGTGCAGGGCCCACGACAGGCACCTGTCTTGGTCCGATACACAAGAAGAGCTTCCTCAGTGCATATTGTCTGGAGTTATATTGTGTAGCGGGTAATGATGGTGGCTCCTGGGATTATAATAACGCCATCTCTATTTTTGTTACTAGCGAGTTTGTTTGCCCAAAGGGCTAATAAACTCGCTATGGTCGCGCCTTCGGCGCTCCATTCTCAAATATAGTGATTCCTTCATTACTTTATTTATCAAAATAAATACTACGAATGCTTCTTGTGCCTAACTTCAAGTTTCATAATAATCTGTCATGAGGAGTCATATTTGAAAAGTAGATGAGCACTCAGCAATCAAAGAGGTACATATGAACCATTTTTCAAAAATATTTAGTTCCCTCCTTCATTGGATCAGAAAGGAATCCGGAAAATGCGCCATTTGACGAAATGTGCCCTCAGGGGATTTGCCTAAAATTATATGGTATTATTAATTTGGTAGGCCAAAGAGAAATTGTTTGAAAAAATTCTGCCAAAATAAAAATTTGCCTCAGGACATAATTTTTTGGGCATCGGAAACTTGAATTTGGTCAACTTGTCAGGGATACCAAAACAACAGGAAGACCAGTTTCAGTGAGCACACGAATACATTTAACGTGTGATTTAAGCGTGACGAGCAATCAAATTTCAGAGAAAAAAATCTAAACTTGAAGATCAAAAAGAATAATTCAAGTTCAAACGAAGAAAAAACGCTACATTGCACTGAAGAAGAATATGTCTGACTACTTCAACTCGGTTTGAGAGCAATCGATAATAAGTGACCAGCGAGACAACGACGGCATGCTCGCAAAACCGCTTTTGAATCAATAATCGTTTGAATAGCAACCATGAAAATGATTGGAATGAACTTCATGAAATGCAATTATTCATGAGATGATTTTTGAAAGACACGGCAGTTGTAAGCATGCAACGGAAAATCGCTGTAGGATGCCAAGGGATGAATAAGATGCAGAGAGGGTTGACAAGAAGCCAGCCTAGTTCAACCACTCTTTTGGGTTCTTGCACCTAAATTGCAATTGCTCCGGTTCCCTTGAAGGAAATTTGATAAATGATATGGCGATGGATATACGATTAATAGACATTTCAATTTCCGTTTCGAACACGAAAAAAGGTTCATATATTCAAAAGTTATTGCCGATCAAAACTGGTGCGGCTTTTTTGGGCCACCCTGTAGACGGAAATGACCCTCCTGTCATTATTTGTGCGCCCTGCATGTTTAGCAATCCAGTTCCATCTACTTTTGTTCCTACGGTACTGTAAATCCCCATAATCATTTTTAACCACTCTGGTTGTAAATTAGGAAAACTGTATATTAATTTAAGGAAAAATGTCCTAAACCATTTTGGTTTGGGCAATCGAAGGGAAAAGATGTTCTTTTGCGCCTAGATTTTTGTGTAGTACTGTTATTTGACCTATTTTGATGTGGTGCACAGCCCGTTGTGAAATTTTATTTTCTTTCCATGCGTAAAATTTTAATGAAAAAAAAGAGTGGGACACTATGGACCAAGGGCGACCTGCGGTCCATGGTGTCCTATCACGAATGATGTCGCAACGTTCTCTTTTCCCTTACAGTTTTACTTATCAAAGGAGTTTGTCCAAATGTTGCCCATAAGCTGATTTAAATTATTTGTACACATTTTCATAGGGTGCTATTAAAAAATGTGAACATTTACAGTAATTGTTTTCAAATCTGAGCAATGTCAAGAGTTAGGTTTTGTTAGGTTAGTTTGCCCATTTTTGGTCTTATGGTTACGGTTCAGTGGCCCCCTAGTTCGTCAAAAATCCGTCAAGACGCTGCGCAAGTAGAAGGAGAATTTTCGCTCTCAACGAAGGAGGCTAGGAAAAGGAGAGAGGCAGACAGACGCACGAGCACGAGCTGTCTGCAGTCAGGATCCATAGTGGCGCCTTGCCCTTGTCTTGAGGGCATTCGTGTGCATACATATTCCACCTGCCTGCGACGCGGACGATTCAAAGAAATTGCCCAGGTACCATAACACATTGAAGCAGCATTTATACAATGTTTATTGAACTTCCGGATGTTGAACCAATAATCAGTCCATGTTGATTCAATGATATATGTTTCAATGGTATAGGATGCCATGAAACCGAGTCACTCTTCAAAACCTCTCTTCTCCTAAGAGAAAATGTTTAAACCGGAACGACGGAAAACTTACGTAGGTTAAAGACACCAGTTCATGGACGGGCGGGTATTTGTGGACGATTTCGCGTTTTCTGGCATCCAAAGAAATATACACAGGAAATGTATAGTATTGATTGCTCCTTGTTATGCGCATGCTTGTCGGCCGGCGTATAAACCCAGGTAACACATAACATTGATTTAACGTTGAATTAGTGCGGATTGAATGCTTCACTGTTGAATGTTTATACTTCCATGTTGAATCAACGTTGATTCAACGCGGCGACCGTCACCGTTTATGCACCCACATTGACTAAACATAGATTCAATGCTGCGCTATTCACGGTGGAAGTGTGAACATTAAATCAGCCTGGATTCAATGGATTCCTTTTTCAGTACGAAATCCCTTGTGTTTTATGTTTACCCTTAGGACTTTTCTGTGCACTCCATCAGGGTTCGTTAAATACTTTAGCCAACCCGCCAGATTGCATTTGAAGAATATTTTTTTTTGTTTTAGGTCAGATACGAATGTATTACTCCGTATAAAAGACGCCTGGCCTTAAGTCTTAAGTCAGACCGAACGCAGAATCTCCACCTCAGAAATACGCTGAGATACGTTGGAGGAATTGTCAGGCAATAAAGCAGCAACGACTTTGGCAATTTGCGGCACAACTGACATTTGGCGCCTAAAAATCTAGGAAAATGGTCCATGAGCCCCACCATCCCTTATAGAACACTGCCCCACCCCCCGTATTTTGGGGGGTGTTGGGAAGGGTTTCGCCCTCGAATGTATTAATAATTTCATTTCACGTTGCCCACGAGGTTGTTTTGCCGAACTTCATACAATTTGTTGTACTCACTTTTGGCAATTTTAAACTTTTGAACGAATGTAATTTGACCTTATTTCCTTCATTTCCACTTTTATTCTCAGATTTCAGGGATTCGATTATGGTGCAGCTCCATTCGCAGCATCCTCATCAGATATCCCTCCGAATCAATCATATTCGCCAGTGAGTTTTCCTTGCTCACTCAAGTATTACTGCCTTATTTATTGACAAGGGAAGTGCAATTTGTTTTTCCATCAGATGCTAGAAGCCGTCTTAAAGCAATTCATGCAGGCAATGCCGGTAGGTAAATCATAACTATGATTTCTGCCTTTTCCTTGGGCATAGTACCTATAATGGATGTGACGCTGGCGCATTTCCACATACTAGAAATCTGGGACGGGCGCGGAAGCAGACATAAAACAAAATGATGAAATGGAAATCAGGAATGCAGTAGTGCTTCCTAAAGAGGAAGAACTGACTCCTGCTCAGAAAATGAGGAAGAAATGTAAGCTCATCGAGGGGAATGTTTACATGCTACCAATGAAACGGATCATGCAAGATGAAGAAAATCACTTGGCCAAATATGAAGTCGGCAGGAGAAGACCAGAAAATGGACCAGGGAAAGTACTCATGGTTGTCGGAGCTACAGGTGCAGGTATATAGTCAACGTTACTTTCTCCCTGCTTTTGGAATTATAGCAAAAATGATCAAATAAAATGTATCGTGGTGTTCGTAGGGAAGAGCACTCTCATCAATGGGATAGCGAATTACGCGTATGGAGTGAAGTTTGAAGATGATTTTCGTTTCAAATTGATCGTGGACGAGGAGAAGAAGAAATCACAAGCCCACAGTCAGACCAAGTGGATCACTGCATACGTCCTACAAAAGCAACGTGGATTCATTCTGCCCAATTCGTTGACCGTCATTGACACTCCCGGGTTTGGAGATACAGAAGGCATAAAAGCGGATGAAGAATTAAGAAATCAGATAAGGGAGTTCTTTTCAAAGGGTGGCGCCATTGGAGTGGATCAACTTGATGCCATCTGCTTCGTTGTCCAAGCTTCCAGTGCCAGACTTACACATACTCAAAAATACATATTTGACTCAATCTTGTCTGTGTTTGGAAGAGATGTTCAAGACAACATCTACGTTTTGGCCACATTTGCAGACAACAAGAAGCCCCCAGTCTTGGAAGCTATTGCAGCAGCTGATATTCCATTCAAGACCCATTTCAAGTTCAATAACTCAGCGCTCTTCTCAGGAGATCATTCTCAAGAGTCTGAAGAATTTGATAAAACGTATTGGGAAATGGGTGTCTCCAGCTTCAAAAAATTTTTCAGAAAATTTCAAGACACCAAGCCAGTAAGTTTGACATTAACAAAAGAAGTCCTGAAAGAGAGGCAGCGCTTGGAAACGGCTCTCCAGGGCATTCAACCGCAAATTACAGCAGGTGAGAAAATGACTCGTATTTATTCGATTCTAAGGCAATTATTCAACTTTTTAAATTATAACATGTAAACAATCGTTTTAGAAACAGCCACAGAATATGCTATCGGTTGAAATTCATCATATGCATGGAACAAATGAGAACCGCGATCGCCCGCAACCATTGATATTTAAGCAATGGAAATAATTCAAATAGTTTTAGTATTGAATAATCACGCATGCATTTCAGTGTCCTGACCTATTTCAAATCAAAGGTAACTTGAGTTATCTTCGTCTTACCGCATTCAATAGGCTTGGGGAGACTAGAACAACTGAGGCAAGAACATGCTGCATTGAGACAGCATGAGGCTGAGTTGCAAGCAAACAAGGAGTTCACCTATACGGTAAAAGTTCAGAAGCAGACAAGAGTAGATTTGGAGATTGGTGTGTATGTGACAAACTGCTTAAGATGCAACTTCTCTTGCCATTTTCCTTGCACGATTCCACAAGATGATATGAAGGATAATTGTGATGCTATGGGAGTCAATACCGAGACAGGATTGGTGACACATTGTCTCGTTTGTCCTGGGAACTGTCCCCCTAATCAGCACGTCAACAACCAGTACAGGTTTGAATTGTTCGAGGAGGAGGAGACGAAAACCTCTGATGAGTTGAAGGCGAAGTACGAAGAAGCAGCTGGAAAAAAGTTGACCACTGAAGGAATTGTGAAAGAACTTATCAAGGGATTCAACCAGGAAAGAGCAAATATCCTGAATTTAACCAAGAGGGCACACGAATGCTTGCAAAGACTCGATGACATAGCCCTAAAACCTGATCCCTTGGCTGTTACTGATTACATTGATCTTTTAATTCAGACCGAGCAAAGAGAAGCCAAACCAGGCCATTTGCAGCGGATCAAATACCTTCAAGACACTAGGGCCAAAGCTAAATTGGCCGAGACGTTGAAGAAAGATTTTGATCCATTTGAGGAATATATGAAAGAGTTCGAAGAAGAAGGATTTAATATTTGCCTCTTCGATCCCGATCCAATCGCAGACGAATTAGGATACTCTATTGGCCCCATCGTTGAAGAAGCTGACAAGGAAGAAGAGAAACCTGGGGTGTTCAAGAAATGCATAAATTTATTGGAGACAAAATTGGGTTTTGGAGACAAGTAAGTGTTTTTCTGTCAGTAAGTTTTGTTTTGATAAGCCTAAATGATGTGAAACTGATAGAAGCTCAATTATCTTTATCTAATATGCAACAGACCTTCGCCATTCGCGTGGGATACGTTCATGAGAAACCAGCGAGTCGGAAAACCGCGAAAGCTGAAACAAAATGTTTATGAGAAATAGGGGATAGGTTTCCGACACGCAAAAATAACCATATTTCAACAAGAATTAATGGTGTAAAAATGAAAGAAAAAAAGAGATTAGTGCTGCTTCCAGCGAGTGACGGGAATCGCGATTGAAGAATTCGCGAATTGCAAGGGTTAGCTGTATATAGACGATCGTGACCGGCTGAGTGACTGACTGACGCTAATTCTAAGCATGTTCTAGACATGATGGAAGTATGAAACCTTGTACGTAAACACCTATTGGGATGCTGAGTCCAAAAACATTCAGACTTTACAGGTAAATGCCCTGGGGCACACCATGGGGGTAATTTTTTTAATTTTTTTAAATCAAACGCAGAGACTTAGAAAGTTGACACTTGGCATGGACGTGACTACTGACGCAATGCGTTCAGGAAAAATGTTAAGTTCCCAATACATCCCCGGGGGACTTTTTTATTTTAAGGATAACGTTTTCATTGTCCATGTCAATGAGAATGAATCATTCATTAATTTCCGTGGTGGCTAAAGCGTACTAAAAGTAGTCCTTGCTGAAATATGTCGAGTGAGGAAACATGCCAATATTTTATATGAAAATAATTACTCCGTTGACTTTTAGTGTGCCTAACTTCAAGACGCTTTATAATCAGCCCTGATAGGACTTATTTGAAAAGTAGGATAAGCACTCAGCAATCGAACAGTTACTTCTGCTCCAAGTTTCAACTTTCTACTAATTCGTTCAGTGGATTAAAGAAGAAAAATGGGGAAAATGCGCCTTTTGCAAGAAAAAAAAGCTCTTAGGGGTTGCACCTAAATTACTGAATTACCATGTTTACTGAAATCAATCATCGCGAAAATATATGTCTATTACGTTTCAAACTTATTCGGTAGGTCTTTTCGCTAGTGCAAAAAATATATCTGGAAAAGCCGACCCAGTCAAAAACTGTGTTCTGAGGGTATGCATCACATAATTTAAAAATGTTTCTGAAGTCTTCACATTAGCTCTCCATGCGCATACGTTTCACTGTTCTTTCTCTGCCCAATTCGTTGGGACAAAAAACACATTAGCAAATTGTTCATCTAAGTTTAAAATTTAACATGTTGAAAATGTATGGTTTTTTTTTCCAAAATCAGCTATTGAGGAAAACTTGCGGGGAGGACAAAATCGATTAGCAGGTTGGCAGTTTGACACATTGTGCCTAGGCCCAACCGAAACATCATGGAAGTCTTCCACGGGTTGGCTAGTTCATCGATATTTTTACATTTCTGTATATAATAATGCATCTATTTGAGCAATTTCGCGTCATAAAAGATGCAATACGCTTTGCTTATTGAAACAAAACATGCCATAACAATGGCATTCCCAGCATACAATATACGGAGCTGCGCGACCTCAAATTCGTTTATTAGTTCCAAAACGGATCTACAAGAACGTGATAGTGATGACATTAGGAAAAGGTAAGAGCTTTAAAACGTAATTTACTATTTAGTGAAAGAAATGTTATTGATGGTTCATGCGTTAATAATGCGTTCATCTCTCACCCTTGCCACTTTCTTCAATGGTGGAAGATTTCTCCGATCTTTCACCATTGAAGAAAGTGAGCGGTCAAGGTCATAGGGGTGGGTCATGTGTGAGAATAATTTTCTTCACCAAGAACTATATCGTTACCTCAGTTCAATAAGGTTCAATATGACAATGTTCCTAACTTGAGAAATAGAGGGTCAAACTTCAGACGATTCCCCAGGTTGTAAATAATATTATTTGATGACGTTAATTCTTTTAGTAGAGATTGTACTTCGTGAATATTTCCAATGTAATACTTAAATGCTTCAATATACAGGGTGTCCCATAAGTCATTATACCATTTCAAAGTGCAATATTTTCCAAACTACAACAGCCAGGTCAATTTTCTCAGCATCGATGGAAAGTTCTTTAGAATATTTTTTAATATAATGACTTGGAATCAGTCTCAAAGAGAAGTTCCTTCAAAAGCAAGTCAGAAAGGTGTACATGTTTAGGGCTATTTATGGTACACATTCTTGAATCCTATTTTACAGAAATTCTCAAACTTCATGTTTTTTCCCCCCTAATTCCAGACAGACTTGAGAAAAAAATTTTTTCCTTAATTTCCTTTCATTTGCTTTCTTTGTAACGAGAAAAGGCATCATAATTGACGCTCGAGCAACGTTCCTTAGTTGCTACCTGGAACGGAGGTTTTTGAGAGTCCCATCCGAGCCCATGGCAGGTTTCGGCAATATTTTGGTGGCGAGCATCATGGCAAATGATTTCATTTCGTCATTTCGAGGCACTTTCAAATTTAGAAAAACCTCCATTTTTGACGAAGACTATTCCGAATGATATGCTATCGTTAAGTTAATGGTACTTCTTTTTTTGCCATATGAATTTTGGAAAATATATAGTAACTTATAGGACAACTTGTATTCCAGTTTCTGCACATTCTATCAGGTCTTAAGTGAGATTGAATCATGGAGCCTCCTTCATAGGTACTTCCTCTTGGAAGACCTAAGATGAAGGGTTCTATCTGACCCCAATAAGATCTCCCAATTCTTTCCTGACAAAAATTAGCTCGAAATTCAGCCTCCTAGCATATGCTCAATAAACAGAAGCATATATATTAAATAAATGAATATGTTTTACTTCAATATTCAGTCTAAGTTATATTACATCATCTAACACTATCAGATATATGTATTATGCAACAAGTCATTGTAGTACATCTTGTCCACTTTAGGCATCTAGGCATGCTTTTGAGATCCACTTTCTTCCTCATACCGAGACTCCCCTTACAAAATACTTCACACATTTTTGGTCAGTTGTTCAGGGAGACGAGCACCTTGCCTTCTATTTGATATATTGCAGATGCGGGCCTTGTGAAAGACATCATCACTATCAGATAACTTAAACTTAACTTGAAATGGAGATCTAAGAGTAAATGGTATCAGACAACGAAATGGAATAACTTTAAAATTGAAATTTTTTGGCTACAGGCTTTTAGTCTTTTGAGTCAGTTTGACTCATCTGGATCATGTTTATGGGATTCTTCCTGTTCATAACATGAAGAACACGGAAAAAGAGACAGAAAAACAGAACTCATATATTCTGCTGTGATGTTAACGTCATGTTAAAAGTGAGGAAAGTTGCACATATAGTTAGTTAAATTCATATTTTACATAATTACAAAATGGTAATTTCCAGGAAAGGAACGAGGTTTTATGAGCACTAAACCAGACATACTTATTCGGAAATTTTTTGCAAAAAATGAAACACACACTTGAAATACAGGCTTCACCTGTGCCACAATCTTGCTTAAACTTGAGCTAATGTTAGGGAAAATTCCATCAGATGGTGCTAGCTGTAACAATATATCGGATTGGCTGCGGGCAATAGTGGACCTCCTAATCAGGTTAATAAACCAATCAAAAGTCTCCAGAGTTTTGTCTTTACCTATTGTCCAGTATCTGTAGATAGAACCTTGTTGAACTGAACGTTTGGGACCCGGGCAGATAGAATCTCGAAGAATCGTTAATTGTAGCCTTTCTTAAGGGAATTCACACAAAATCTATGTCTCCTGAATCTGCTCTCTATGTGGGTTACTTATATCTCATTGTCTCATTTTTCATGAAAATGTCACATAAACCTAATTGAACTGAGGTGACGATATGTCAACAGTGGCGGTGTGTGCGGGCGCTTAGTCACGAGAATAAACCAAAGGCCAGAAATGGCTTCTCCATGCGCCCGCACACACCGCCACTGCCAATATTTGTTTTTCAATTCCCTCGCATGAAGAAAGGGATTAAAGGGCATCACTTTGAGGACATTCCTGAGGTTCAACGAAATGCGACAAGGACACTGAACAGCATCTCAGAAAGGGACTTTCATAGGTGTTTTCAGGAATTGCACAAGCGCTGGAATCATTTTAATGCTGCGAAAGAAATATAAGTTGAAGGCGATCACCAATGAATAAACATATTGTATGCCGCTTTATCTTTCTACTGCCAAACCCGGAACATTATTGTCGCACCTTGTGTATGTTTAACTCGATCGGAAGCAATATTTTGCCATAGTTCAAGCCTATATTTAAAGATCACGTTGGCATTTCCGGAAAAAGGCGATAACAACTCCTGTCAATGATTATGACACATAAGGGCAATTATAGCACATCAAACACTATTCTGGTATGTGGTTGTTTCATTGTATTTCCTCGATGGTACCCTAAATAAATTGTCATTTCTGATTCGTTACTGTTATCCCTCAAATAATTAGCGTGAAACTTCTCTCCCATGACCCATGCTGCATTTTTCCAATGGGGATTTGCACTACTGGAAAATTATGCGAAACTGCGATCTTTTATCAAGGAGTTTATAAAAATATGTTTCGCATTTTCAACTGATTACCCAATTTGTTGTATCATTCTTCCATCAAAGACTGTATTGTCTATTGATGCCTGACAATCTTCTTCCTGCTGAGATGGAATTTGTGACGAGCGGCTGCGCAACTTAGTTGCAATCTCAGAATTGTATAATCCTACTAGCGAGTTTGTTTGCCCTTCGGGCAAACAAAATCGCTATGGTCGCGCCATCGGCGCTCCATTACCTTGGATAGTGATTAACTCATTTATTATTTGCGAAATGGCAAACACGTATTTAAAGTGTGTCAACATTGAAATACGTGACATATGGGGACGAAAGACTCAATTTTAATCAAAAAGCATTATTTCCATTTTTTTTAATGTGCAAACTTAAAATCTTGTCATGTGTCCCTTTTTGTAAGGGTGGAGAGTACATTTTTAAATACTTCCCTCCAATAATCTACGATAATGGAACATATTTCAAAAGTAAGATTTATCTTGTACTCAGCCATCAGATAGGTACTTCTGAGGGAAGTTTAAATTTTCTGTCTCTGTTTCGTTGGATCAAAAAAAAAATCAGGAACATGGGACTTTAAAAAAGTGCCCTGATGGGTTTTAACGAAAAATTTTTTAATACTGAAATGTAGACTCAGGGAACTCCATGCCACTCAGTTTCAGCATTATACGTTTCCACTTTTTGCTGGCGGAAAAAATGTATTTGGAAAAGCGACCCAACCAAAAGCTGTCCTCTGAGGAGACGTATAAATAAAGTTTAATATTTTCTTTAAATCAACGTCACGCCAGTGATGCGTGCGCCACCTATTTTTCTATATCTGCCCGGTGAACTACATGTCCACAAAGTTTCAATATTATTTGCCTGAAGGGCAAACAAACTCGCTAGTATATATTAGATATCCCAAGCGCGCCGTAAATAGAAGCTTTCAAGGGCCTCCCTTCAATTCTCTGCCGACGAGAAAGGCTTTCATTACTTCTATGCATCGTGACAGGAGACTCTATGCAATGGAGTGTTCTTTCTTGATGAGTCAATCAAGCGAAGGTATTCCGCGCGGAAGAGCGGCTAAATTTTTCCAAATGTATTATTTCTTCTACATGAGGTAATTATTTTACTTATTAACGCAAACATGGGAACTTTCAAAACCATGTTACTGTACTTTCTAGCTCTGCATATATCAAATAGGAAGCCCCTTCTACATTTAATAACGAAGATCCAATATGTTATCCGATATTTTGTCTGAGTACTCTATGGCAAAGCTGTTAAGGGTTAAGAGGCCGTCGTACACTTTAATGTGGACGTGACGTGTTTGGTTCTTTCAACTGATGCACGCTTGTTGACTGTGCATAGGCAGTCCCTCTTCGCAAAAACCCATTGTTCTCGTACCGCTTATGATTGCATTGTGATCAGCACGTCTGCAACTTTTTTTTAACCTGGACTTCATTATGATAGATGTAAAACTCACATAATACCACGTCTGATGAATTAAATGGATTGCATATGGCATGCGATCCAGTGATTTTAGTGACATGCGAGACGATTGAACTTGATATTTCGGAGGTTTGACTCCCCACTTTATCTCTGCGCACTCAATTACCTTTTTCTGTCCTTGCGGTTCCATCCCATGCAGATAAAACCCAGATCAGCTGAGATCAGCCAGATTCTTTTAGAAAACAGGAATATCTAATCATGATTGTCCTCAACAAAAACTTACTTGGAGGTTTGATTAATTTTCTGTATTTTTATGACGGAATCTATTTAACTTGCTTTCCCCTAATCAGGCATGAAATTCGAGAAATCTACAAATTCATTATAAGGAGGCCATTCTTTCTTCTTACAAACGGAATAAGGCGTCTTCAAGATGGCAACTCAAAATTTGCAGACCATAGGTTATAATAAAATTGTTCAATATGACCAGTCAGCGAAAAGGAAGTCAAATATTCCAAAAGAAGATGTCCTTATATGTAATAGATTCATCAAAATATATCGCTTCAAAAAATTTAGATTATATTTTGTGGAGAAATATATTTCATTAGATATTAGATGCTCAAGTATAAGCGTGCATCATAACAGACATGACATCGTTTGAATAATGCACTCTAGATTGAATACGATGAGCCCGATAAGTACAATAAGTCGCCTATTACGACTGCAATGATACTCGTTCGAGCGGAGTCATATTACGTAGTACTATCATTGCCTCTAAAAATGGCCGACAATGCATTATATTGTCTCATTTCATGCATTCATTGTTTATTATCCTTTTTATTTCGTTCATGGTGGAGTTTTAAAGTTTCACTCGGCAATAATGAGAATAAATGATAAAAGCTTGAATCGTAAATGTTCGGCAGTAAGCATTATTGTCACGAACATTTCCATTTGATATCAAGCCAGCTGTACAATTGTGCAGCATTGACTAATTACTCCTAGTCCCAAGTGAAGCACAACGCATTAACATCCGAGAGTCATTAGGTATTAGGTACGATGATTGATTAGATATTTTCAGGCATGTTTAACATACCCTGTCCATCGAAATGCAGCATATTTTCCAAGCATTTTACTATTAGAGTCAAGTGAACATCTGTAATTATTTATAGCAGACGTTTTATTTGAATAAAACGTTCTTGTGATTTATTTGTAGGTCCAAAGATGAAAAGAAGAAGAAGAAAACGGGAAAGGGAATCAAACCCCAAGACGAGACTTGGAGATAAATTTGCTGTATTCCAGTGCATGACAATACACAGTGCCTCCTAGATTATTCGTTGGAACCTCTGATGTATTTTTCTCTCTACCCTGAAGAATCCCCGCCATATAATGCATACACGCCTTATTGATGAATACAATTTCAATGTTTCTATATTTTTTGTGCAAATGCATAATATTGAGGTCCTCGCCATTTTTGACAACACAATGAATCTATTGTATGAAATAATAAAGATTTTATTTACTATTCCCATCTATTATTTGGTCCTGACAGTATTTCAAATGTTCCCAGTGTTACAAATGAAATTTCAAAATTTCCTGTGTTCCCTGCACGAAGAAGACAGTGGCATGAGAGGAATTTTGCTTTTTCACTTCTAATGAGGGAAATTTAGTCAATTTAATGCTTTGCGATTGCAATAGGGGGTGGGGCACCATGGGTTACTTATTTGTCTGTTTGATGTTTAAGCATTATCATGCATTTAAAACATTGAAAAGCGCAGCGTGGAATGATTCTCATCACCTGAACCTACAAGTTTCGAGCGATTAAGTCGTATTCAAAATGGAGCTCCAGGGCACGAAGGGTAAGTGCCCAGATACGATCGGGAATCTCCTTGATCATCGCGAAAACGAAGTTATTTTCGGCCAAAGTCATCCCACAATGGAGCGTTCCCACCACAGGAGAAGTTAAACAAGTTTCAATTAAGGAATTGATTTTTCAATTAGCCACATTTCCACATATGTATACATTTTGGTCCTCATATTGCGTACTGACGTGCATAATGGCATTGATTTTCTTGGTTTGCTCAAAATATATAGTCTTCAAAGGGCGTCCCCGGTCTTGTTTATTTTCGCTGACCATGACGATGATACTCCTGCTTCTGGCTTGGAAGTATATCCACTTCTTGTTGAAACTGAAAACTGCACACTCTGCGCAGGAACATATGATATTATAATGTGGAATGGAGTATGAAAGCCATGAAACAAAATGCCATAGAATAATTAATATAATATAAATGAAGCAGTCGAGCAAGTTTTTACCAAAGGCAATATTGAATAGAACCAATGCCACAACCTAGCACTATTCGAAAAATCAAAAAAAATGTCGATACCTGACTAACATAACGAAACTCAAGTCGTCAAATAGATCTTTGAATGCTCTTTCGAATGATATAGGAGTCATATTTTTATGCGGAATTTTACATTGCGAAAAATGAGGTCAAACTTTGCTAGGAGCCCAAAAAAACGGGTTATTTAACTACCATTTTCGACACGTGGGCAAGAAAAGTCAAATACTCATACAGGGTAATAAGTTTCAATTAAGGAATTGATTTTTCAATTAGCCACATTTCCACATATGTATACAATTTGGTCCTCATATTGCGTACTGACGTGCATAATGGCATTGATTTTCTTGGTTTGCTCAAAATACCCTGTATATGGAGACAATCGGTAAATTGGTAAAGCATTCCTCCTGTCCGAGAGGAAAAATTTCCGATCTCAATAATTTCTTCCCTAGACCTCCTTAGGCATGTAGACAATTGAGGTACATCAGGATATGCAATAGTCGAGTCCATCGTGTTTCAAGGAAATCTCATAGTGTGAAGCCACATGTCTTATGTTTTCATGCCATCTGGCTATGCATACCCTTTGAGATACTTTTGCGGTTGGATGCTGACAAACAACCTTCTTAAAATATTTATTGGCCATTATGAAGAATCGCATTAGTAATCATCTCGAATTGGGGAAAAGGTGGCTCATTGTCCTAAAAACGATATTATGGTGATTCTTAGGGATTCTTAAGTAGAGATTGATGACCATAAATTAATTTATTGCGTTCATGTGGGGTTCCATGCATTGAGAAGGTCTGAGGGGGAAATATTCCATACGCCAAAATATTTTATCCTAGAGGAAGAAACCGCGCATGCCCTGTACTAAAGGGAATGGGTGCCACATGGCAGAAATTCCCTTCGATCTGACAGATATGGGCTTGCTCTTGGCTGAAGGGAAGGGGTGCAAAATGGCAGAAATTCCCTTTGGTCCAGCCTAGAGAGCGAATATACCGAAAGGAAGTCGGTGCCATATGGCACATTTTTCCTTTGGTCCAGTTTCGATCCTGGTTAGTTTCAGACAATCTGTCTCCTTTCCGTCTAAATTCTTTCTAGTACATGAAGTTATATTTCTCCTCAGAATAATTTTACGTTGACGACTAAGAATGAACGGCAAGAGAGAGATATATCTCTTTTTTCTTCCAGAATAGCATTCCCAGAAGTTCAAGGGTGTACATATGAGGTATGTCCTACATCAATCACGTGAGATAATATTTTAATTATTTTAAAAAATAAAGTAAATACTTGTAGTCAATACATGGTAAAACAGAAAAACTTCATTCTTTTGTTGAGCAGTCATAAACATAAGAAGATAATGAAATACTCAATCCAACAAAAATTGCAAGCATTTCATTTTAAGAATTAATTAAGCTTACAAATGAATATCAAGGCAAGGCAAATTAAAAATTACACAATGCAATGAGACAAATATACATAGGTCACACTCGCAAATGCACATAGTATTCTCTGGAAATAGGTTCAAAGGCAACAGAAGTACTTGATACTGCAAGCTGAGAAGTGAAACAAGCTGTCCACTACCCCGCACGTCTTCCAGGAAAGAGATTCTGCATGTTCCAATTCTGCCTCCATGGAACCAAAGTCTGTTGGAGGAAGAAGAGGTTTGGATTAGAAATCATTTCTATAGTTGGCTCCCAGTCTTTCACCGAGACATCCATAATGCATCCCACAGAACTGACCAGCAAGAAGCTATTCTAATGAAATGATGACAGCAGGATTATGTGCATCCATCCAAAACCAGGAGCCATGGATGTGTGTCCTCTCCTGATTTCTCAAAAAGGCCACGTTCCTCGTTTATAAGAAGGCATCGCCATGATCATATGCCAATACTTGAGCTAAGTCAGGCATGTGGGATTGATAAAAACTGACCAAGAGTCTTCTGAGTCCCGCCCATCTCCTGAAGAATTATACAAGTAGAATTCCCCTTTAGGAGCCTTCTCACTGTGAGGAGCACGGAGTCCTAACTGTAGGATCAGCAGCACGTTCATCTAATATATATAGACGATCGTGAATGACTGACTGACGCTAATTCTAACCATGTTCCAGAAAGGTTAGAAATCTGAAACTTGGTACACATGTACCTTTTGGGGTGCAGAGTTCATAAAAAATCCGACATTGGAGGTACATGCCCGGGGGGTACATATTTTTGGGGGAGAAGTTTTTTTAAAAATATATATCGTGATGGATACAGATGTCATCGAAAGACGCCAATTACGTCACCGTTTCGGTGGTGTAGTAGTGGCACATCGGACCGGTAATCGTGAGACAAGGGTTCAATTTCTGGCCATTCCATGCCTTTCTTTTTTACATCTCTTGGCTTCCATGTCCCGTTGCTTGAATAAAAAGGAGAGACATGGAAAGCTGAAACGTGCCATGGACTGACACGATGAGTTCAGGAGAAATGCAAAATTTTTTATCCATGCCGTGGAGGCATATTTTTGGGGGCCGACGTTTTCAAGTTTTTCTTTGTCCTGGTGTATTGAGCTAGTGTGGAAAGATGAAATTTGTTACATAATTACCTACCGGGATGCTGTGTGCAGAAAAATTCAGACTTTGGAATGAAATGCCCTGGGGGCATGAATTTCAAAGGGAGAATGTTTTCACAAAATTTTTTTTTGCATCAGTTAAACCGATGGACATGGAATGCTGGAACTTTGCAGGAATGTGACTACCAAGATAAGTAGTTAAAGAAAAATGTTAAGTCTTGATATCTGATACATCCCTGATGGGAAAATTTCTCGAGGGGCGATGTTTAAAAAAAAAAGGAAATTGTCGTGGCGAATTGGACATGAATGGAAAGGTGAAACTTGGCACAAGTATAAGTCAGGTGATATTATTGAGTTGAGGGTGTATTCAGCTTTTATGGTGCATCTCCTCCGGGCATAGCTTTTGGGTGGGTCGGCTTTTCCAACATGATTTTGCACCAGCGAAAAGGGCAAACGTATAATATTAAATCTTTGTGGGCATGTAGTTCACTGAGGTTTGATTTCGGTAAATATGATACTTTTCGGTTATAACGACCGAGGGCAGATATTTTGCAAATTTTCATGAATTTTCTGATGCAGCAAAATGGAGGGTGCTAGAAAGTTTAAACTTGTCAAAGAAATACCTGATGAATAATTGAGTAAAGAAACAATTCTACTTTCATATTATATATAGATGATTTTGAGTAGCTGACTGACTGACAAAAGTAGCTATTTACATCCTGAGTTCAAGAAAAATTCCACCTTGGTGATACACGCCATAGGGGCACACCTTTTTGGGGAACATATTTTCAAATACTTCTCTTTACTTCAATCAAACGGAGACCCATGGAAAGCTGTAACATGGCAACACCGTGACTGGCGAAGCACTCAGATAAAATATCAAATGTCAAATTTCCATAATATTTTGGGGGGACATATTTCTTGGGGACGTAACGCTTTCAAAGAATTTTTAAATTCAAATTTTTTAACATTTAAATTTTTTCAAAGAATAACGGACGTGATGTTGATTTTAGGAAAAATTCAACGTTTGCTGAGCGTCTCCCCAGAGTACAGCTTTTGGGTGGGTTGCTTTTCCAAATACATAATTTTTACCGCCAGCAAAAAGGGGAAACGTATAAGGCTGAAACTGGGTGGCATGGAGTTCCCTGAGTCTATATTTCAAAATTTAAATAAATTTTCGTTAAAAAAATCAGGACACTTTTTTTTAAGTCCTATTTTCGTCAATTATTTTTCGATGCAATGAAACAGAAACAGAAAATTTAAAATTCACTCAGAAGTACCTGTTTGATGGCTGAGTACGGGAATAATCCTAATTTTGAAATATGCCTCATGAGCGTAGATTATAGGAGGGAAGTATTGCAAAATGTATTCTCCACCCTTGCAAAACGGAACACATGAAAAGATTTCAAGTTAGGAACACTAGAAATATTAGAAGTAATGATTTTGATGAAAATGAAGACTTTCGTCCCCATATGTCACGTATTCCAATGGGACTTACTTTGGGCAAGCAAACTCGCCAGTAATCGGAATACTCGCTCGGCTAGAGAGGTGTCACTGGATCACTTAAGGAGAAGAGCACTATGACAGAATATCCTTG